ACATGCTCATGTATTAAACATTTTTTTTCATTTCAATTATTTTTCTATTTCCACAAGGAATAAAATTCCACACTGCACTGACAGTGACAGTTAAATTGATCTGTAATGGCAGAAGCAAGTTCAAGTTCAAATGGTAGATACTATTCTAGCTTGTTAAGACAGCAAAGCATAACACATTTACTGCAATATGCATGCATTTCACATTTTTTTAAATAAAAAAAATCTGTACTAAACTACAAATATATAAGAGTTTTGTGATACAAAAAATGATATGGAACCCTACATTAGGCAGCAGACAAATAGAAAGTTGCCAGAATTATATCAAAAACACACTTAAAAAAATAAAAAGTGGATAGAGTACATGTACATGTATCTAGAGAAATCTGTCTCTTAATTCAATCAAGTGCAAAAGCATCCTCCCCTTTTCAAATATTGATGACTATGGATTACATGTAAATACATGTAAATGGTAATGATTTACAGTAAATATTTTCATTATAACAATTAACATGTTAACCTATCACTATACATACTCAAAACAAAAATATTGACAAGTACATGTATATATGCTATTCAAATAAGTATTTAAGATTTTCAAACATTTATGAATATAATATATAATGTTGACTTATTTACACAAGACAAGACTAATTAAATACTAACTTACAGTTAAACAGAAAGCAAATACTATCTTAATCTATGACCGTTTTTCACTAGACTAGCAACTTTTGACTTTTCCCATTGATGAAATTGACAACATTAAAAACCAGTCATATCTTATACATCATACATATATATACCTCTTGTGTGATAATTGGTTTACTTTTCCTCTCAAGTCTGAAGTTTTTGTTTACAAATGTACATAACACATACAACTCTATTTGTTTTTCTAAGCACATGAAAGGTAACTTTAAAAAATAAATAATAAAAGTGACAGAACACAGGTCAATCCTCAAGAATGTATCATCACAAAAGCTTTCCAAGGCTTATCTCATACATGTTATCTGTGGTTACTGAAAGATGGTCAGATTCATTAAATACTCATTTTCACTTACAAACATTTCTGGCATTTGATTAAAAATTCAAAGTTAACAAGTGGTCAAAAGTTCATGATTTAAAAACTGTCTTATACCTTAATCATAATAATCTTAAGAGGAAAACCTTGGAAAATAGGTCTTAAAAATGCCTATTATATCTTTTTTGTGTATACAATCAACTACAAACAAAATAAAACTAAAATTATGGCTTAATCCAATACTGATTCTCATCAATTTTTCCATTTGTAAAGGGGCATAACTCTAGAACGGTAAAAGTGACCCCACCAAAATTCAAACATGATCTGTGTTTTGTGGTAATAAGCATTGTGTACAAGATTGATAACATTTGTTTGAGGCAAACTTTAGTTAGAGAACAGACACGAAAAATTCAGCAATTTTTTCCATTTGTAAAGGGACATAACACTAAAACAGTAAAAGTGACGCCACCCAAATTCAAAACTTGATCTGTGTTTTGTGGTAATAAGCATTGTGTATCAGTTTCATAACATTTTGTTAAAGCAAACTAAAGTTAGAGAATGGCAAAATGAATGGAAACCAATTTTGGTATGTATTTACGTGCAAGGGCAACACTTAACGCCCCCACTGCTGCAACGGGGCCTTAAAAAAATATTTTGGTCCCGCTCAAAACTATTGTACAAATGTAGGTCAGGAAACTATAAACACATACCTTTTTATTGTGTTTGGTAGCAGCAAGAAACAAATGATTTTTCCTTGTCAAGTTGAAATTTGACATAAGTTAGACTGTCAAAGAACATACCTTCATGACTTACTTTACAAAATATTTGAAATTTGCTAGTATTTATACAAAACATACAAGTATGTAATTTCATTTTTTAATCCCTTTCCTTAAAACTTTTGAATGGAAAGTTATTTTTTCATCTATCCAAGATTTCTTTATTTAATAGGCTCTAAAATGTGTCCCTTAAATGAATGCCGTTAAAATTTTTGTAAAATCATACAAGTATTTGTGACAATATTAGACAATTTTTTTGCTATAACAAATATGCAGACAAAAATCAACCTACTGGTGATTTTTTCTTGCGATTTCAAATCAACAAATCTGATTGAAATACATACATGTATCATGTGTCTATCCTTTGCTTATCAAAGCAATGACATTTTGAGATTTTTGATTTTCAGACATTCATTTTATATACCGGTAATCATTGCCACTGTGAAAGATTGACACATGGTTACTGATAGGTCAATCTGAAAGAATTAAAGGAACAAAGACAGAGATTTGAATACTGTAAATTCAGAAATTAAAGGTCAATATGGTGCTTCTGCATACAATTTCTGTCAATCTTAGTGATATGGTACAAAAAGTTATGCACCAAACACAAATCAGATGTAATGTTTTACTATTATAGGAGTCAAAGGTCAGAGTGACCTGATTTTGGTATACATGTATGAATTGTTTTACATTTGTCATTCGGGGCCTTTTATACATGTAGCTGACTATGCAGTATGGGTTTTATTCATTGTTGAAGGCCGTATGGTGACCTATAGTTGTAATGTCTGTGTCATTTAGTCTCTTGTGGAGACTTGTCTCATTGGCAATTATAACATATCTTCTTATTTTTATATGACACACCCCAAGCCCATGATGTATCAGCATACCAATTTTGGTCAACCTAAGTTCTATGGTACAAAATTTATGTGCAGGATACAAATCCGACAAGGTTTAACTATGATAGTGGTCAAAGGTCAGAGTGACCTGATTTTGGTATATGACGCACCCAAGCCCAAGATGAAACTGCAAACCAAGTTTTGTTTAGTTACATTTTTAAGTATAAAAGTTATGAGCTGGACACCTTAGTCTTACGGTACAAAAGATAAATGTATGAGTTGGACACCCATTGGTAAAGGTTTTACTATCATATGGTGTTAAAGTGATCTGACTGGTATATGACACACCCCAAGCCTATGATGCAACTGCATACCAAGTTTTGTTAAGTTACGTTTTAAAGTACAAAAGTAATGAGTCGGACACAAATTGAATAAGGTTTTACTATCACAGTGGTCAAAGGTTAAAGTCAAGGTCAGAGTGACCTGACTTTAGTATGTGACACAATCTCATCCTTGCTGCAACTGCAAACTAAGTTTGGTTATCCTAAGTTTTACTGTACAAAACTTTCCAGTAGGACACAAATTGTAAAAGGTTTTACTATCATAGGGGTCAAAGTCAAGGTCAGTGACCTGAATTTGGTATATGACACACACCCAACCCATAATGCAACTGTATACCAAGTTTGTTAACCTAAGTCTTACGGTATAATACATTTGTAGTTATGCATGGGACACGAAGCTGGATGGACATGCATATGGTGATTCCAACATACCCCCCAAAATTTATTTGCAGGGGTATAATATTAATAATTACTTAGTCTGTAGATAGTAGAAAGGAATGTTCTCAGAATCTCTGATCCTTGTTAGTAAAGCCTGGACACCGTATCGGTATATTAATCAGATTGCCAATTAACATTTTTGCAGTGTACTCTGTGGAGCGCAAAAGAAAAAATTTGGTTCCATGTGCTCATCTTTGATCTAAAAACAAGAAACCTAGCTTTCTTAATGCTGCAAATCCAAATCATCATAATTCCCTTTTTTCAGTACTGAATTAGGTTGTGATGTATTCTTTTTGAAACATTGCTTTGCAACTACTGTAAACCAACTAATTGTAGTGAGTGATTCTTATTAGAGAGTATAAAAAGAATGTAAACAAAAATTGCAGGAATATGTAAAACTTGGGTCTTTCCTTATATAAATACATAAAAAAAATCAGGAAACTCCAAATGATATATATATTGCTAGAAAGTCTGATAGAAAGGACTAAAAGTGAAAAATAAATGTCTTTTACAGTATTCACATTATTCATCAAAACCATATACAAATACATGTAACTGTGGTGGGAGAAAAGTGAATGGTATAATGTTAAATTGGAATCATACAATTTATCTGGTTGCTACTGTATCATACATGTATGCCATTAAAGTCAGTCCTCAATTCTTGCAATAATTGTTAAAACTTACCATCATTTAGTCTTTTTTTTTTTACATGTTTTATATTAGATTTTACCATGAAATAATAATGAAAGAAATATATATAAACAGGTTGGGAATACTACAAATTGAAATATAATAACCTGTGGGAGATAAATCCTAATTGGAATATAAATTTACAGTGAAAAAGTTGAAATACTTATATTGTAAAGTGCAATTAACAATTAAAATTAAAAGCAACATCTTTCGGTTTCCTAACTTTTGGGGATACCATTATTTGTACCAAACTATCAGATTTGATTCCTTTGAAATTATATCACTTTTATCAGTGATACATCATATAAACTCATGAGGATCAATGTCATTCAATTTCTAAGAAAGTGACATTAACCAAAAGTTGATCAGTGGCGGATCCAGAAATTTTCATAAGGGGGCCCCGCTCCAGTCATGCTTCAGTGATTCCCTATATAATCAACCAAAAAACCACAAAAGGGGGGGCCCGGGCCCCCTGAAAAACCCTCTAAATCCGCCTCTGTTGATGGTATTGACCTGGCTACAAATGTACATGTAAAGTCATGTCATAATTTTTTAACAGGTTAAACCACAATACTGTCTGACCTGGTACAATAACAGAACATTTTTATTCCAGTAGTGTAGTGATCACCAAGTACAGGAGATCAGACCTAAAAAAATATTTTTCTGAAATCCTATATAATGATTGTTTTGCATTGTAAAATGTTTGGTACATCATATATATTGTACATGGTCCTAGCATTCATGATTATAAACAGCAACAGTTAACGGGTGAACAGGGAAGGCAACTGTCAACAGACAATATTCTAAAGGGTTAATCACTTGACAACCAGTCTCATTTTCTGGAGAATTCTTTCATAGACGTATTTTTATTGTGTAAATGCAATGAATGTTATTTGATACTGACCAAAACTACAAATTGCCTTTTGGTTCGGTGACTTCCTTGTATCGCTGATTTTTTTGCTCTTCATGCATAACAGTGGTATGACAAATGATGCATTTTCCTTCTAAGTCTAGTAAAAAATTGTGCTGGATAGGATATTGCTTTTAACAAGCTAATACGCTCCTGCCATTATAGAAATCATAACAATTTTGTCCACAGTCTGGGTCGGAAAATTATTTGACTTCCTTCCGGTCATTACTCATATCTTGCAGTGAAGAAATAAGGTATTTTGATTGGATTTTAAAATATTTAATCGCGGGAAATTTCAAAATAAACTATTTATCCTATGTTTCTGTTTTATTGCGTGATAACATTTTGTGAGGGAATTCGATGTTTGCTATACCACGGTTCATTTCAACGCACCTTATGACAATACCAATCAGAATGACCTTTTTTGCAGTTTTAAAAAATGAGGGGGGGGGGTCATTGATTTGAACCAGAACATGCATGAATGTGTACAGTAACTTGAATGATCTCCAAACTGGACACTGGACGAGTCCAAATTATTTTTTATCAATGAAACTAAAGGTATGAAAGGTAAGAATTGCCACTTCTTATATTTTCACAAAATTTTCCACATATAGAGTAGATAAATCATTTTTTTTAATTCTTTATTTCATTTATAGAAGAGGTTATGGTTGGATATATTATTGTCTGTACTTGGATCACGCCTCTATTGTGCTCTTTCCAATAAAATATTGAATAATAGCCTATTCCGGAGAAAAAAGAGAAAGTTTACAAATCAGACGTTTTTTTTCCATTACACAAGTCATTTTTTTCGAAGAGAAATGCCGAAATACATTATACGCACGGCTACGACATGTAAAATTATTGTTTATCTCAACAAAAAAAAACAGTTTTCAGTCTCATTATAATGTTATAATTACAATTAATCCCAAACAAAAGTAGTCAGTAAATAAAGTCAAAATAAATCCGATCTGCCTTTTTTTTGGACATCAAAATTCAATACGATCGTTTTAAGGTCATTTTCGTCTACCTCATAAAATCTTGTTAGGCACTATAAGGATGTACTTAGGTCAGGTTTAGGGATTTGTGTCAGATGTTCGGACTCCTAGGTTTTTTCTACGATACAGGGTAAAATATTTTGCCCCATAACACCTATTTTTCTTTTCATATAAGACTTCATAAAAGGTCTTTTACCAAAATTTAAGCAGATTCTAGATTTCCTTTCTTTCGAATTGAGACTCGATTCAAGCATTAAAGACAGCCAAATTTTTCCACCAGGATACAACATATACAGGAACGATCGGAACGTGAATGGTGGAGGGTCCTAGTTGCAGCACGTGTCAACTTGATCAGCTCACCAGTCACATAATTACAAACAGATTGTGAAATGGTACGGTGCAAACTAGAACTAGAAGACATGAAGCCATCTACCTAACATCCTTTTACAATTCCAAAACATCCAATGAAGAGGAATATAAGCAATTTGACATCAGCATGAGTAGAGCTACAAATGTAAAGAATGCATTCAACATTGCAGCCGGAGATTTCAACCTACCTGGATGGGACTGGAAAATTAATCAACTAAAAACAAAAACCCAGAATGTCAACATCCACCACAAATTTACAGACATTCTAGATGACAAACGAGAGGAACTAACACCTTAGATCTGTTTATAACAAATTACCAAGGTAGCTTTAGGAAAACAGAAGTTATACCTGGCCTGTCCGACCATGACATTGTCTATACTGAAGTGGACAGAATACCAGCAAAATTACTACAGAAACCAAGAAAGATCTTCCTTTACAAAAAGGAAAAATGGCAAAATGTGAAAGACGACCTTCACAATATCAAATACACAGCCAAATCACTTCATAATAACAAACCCTTTGTAAAAGACATCAGGAACCTATTTGTAACATCACTAGAAGATAGCGTTAATAAAAATATACCAACCAAGACTGCTCGTAAAAAGGATGGTTGCCCATGGATAACAACAGACTTGAGAAGACTTATAAGAAGAAGGGACAGAGCTTATAAAAAAAGAAAAAATCAGGAGAGAGACACTGCTTCATATAAAGATCTAAAGAGCAAAACCCAGAGAGAACTAAGAAAGGCATATTCGAGGTATATCGAAGACATCGTTACACCAAGTAGTGAGTCGGGCAGAGGTACTGACTGCATGAAAAGATTCTGGACGGTCATTAAGCATAAACGGTCAGATGGGAGTAGTATACCACCTCTCAAATCAGCAGGTCTACTACACGACGATTCAACTGACAAAGCCAACATCTTAAATGCACAGTTCCAGGAAGCATTTCAAGTAAAAATGACATCAACAACACAGAATTTAAGGAAAGATACAACATGTCTGGCCAACACCCCACAACACCAGATATTTCCATCACACAAGAAGGAATAAAGAAACTACAATATGATCTAAATCCCCATAAAGCTGCGGGCCCAGATAACATCTCCCCTATGATTCTTAAAGAACTAGCCGATGAAATAGATTCTATACTCCAACTTATCTTTAAAAGATCATATGACACAGGAGTGGTACCAACATTATGGAAAACAACAAACGTTTGCCCAGTATTTAAAAAAGGGAAAAAGTTTGAACCAATCAACTACAAACCTGTATATGTTGTAAGATAATGGAACACATAGTCACCAGCCATATTATGATCTACAACAACATCCTGTATGACCTCCGACATGGGTTTCGGAAGAAACTATCATGTGAAACCCAGCTGATAGAATTTATCGACGACATCACAAAAAACCTTGATAATGGCCAACAAACTGACTGCCTAATTATGGACTTTTCGAAGGCATTTGACAAGGTCAGCCATAGTCTACTCACACATAAGCTCCAACACTATGGAATAACAGGAAAAACAAACAACTGGATTAAAAGCTTCCTTTGTGAGAGAACCCAGCGAGTACTAGTAGAAGGGGAAACATCTGACTCCATCGATGTAGAGTCTGGGGTACCTCAAGGATCTGTGCTAGACCAAGTCTCTTCCTCTTCTATATCAACGACATGCCAGAAAACATCAAATCGACCGCGAGGCCCTTTGCTGATGACACCATTGCATACATCACAGTAACACCAGATGATAATACACTCCAGGAAGATTTAGACAAGTTGGCTCTCTGAGAAGAAAAATGGATAATGAAATTCCATCCAGATAAATGCCAGGTACTATCGGTAACAAAGAACAGAACACCAATTATAAAGGATTACCATTACATAGCCACACTCTGGAGCACGTAACATCTGCAAAATACTTAGGGGTAACTATAACATCAGACCTTAAATGGGAAAACCATATAAGAAACACCTGTGCCAAGGCAAATAAAACAATTGGATTTCTCAAAAGAAACCTCAATATCTCCAACAGCGATATCAAAGAAAAGGTCTACATCTCCCTCGTTAGACCAACAGTTGAGTATGCCAGCGCTCTATGTGACTCACACCTACAGAAAGATAAACATAAATTAGAAATGGTACAAAGGAGATCTGCCAGATATGTAACAAACCGGTATAGAAACAGATCATCCGTTACTGATATGGACACCATTAGAGAATAGAAGGAAAAACGCACGTTTATCAATGCTTTATAAGATCAGCAACCAGGAGGTCAACGTTGCAGCAAGTCACAAACTCGTACCACCTGACAGGATCTCAAGAAATATGGGCACAAACTCTTTACAGATCCCACAGTTTAACACAACAACAAGGAAAGAGTCATTCTACCCGAGGACCATCAGGGATTGGAATGCCTTACCCTCCCCAGTTACATTTGTCAGCAGCCTTGAATCTTTTAAGAGGCTCCTGACTAACAAATAAATGTACCTAAATATGATCCATTATGTATCATTCAATTAACCCGTCTAATTTGGTTCCGCGTGGCGGTTACAGTTGTTTCTTGTGATTTTTGTTTGTTTGGTGTGTTTCGTAAATTCATAATAAGTAATGTTTCGGTTTGAACAAGGATTTGTATAGTAAGATACTATACAAATCCTTGGTTTGAAGAAAAAAACATGTTTGTTTTTCGTCAGCGTTGTTGATAATTTTGTACTTTTTTTAGCCTGTTTCTGTATTATGGAATCGGTTGGCATGACATACTTTGAAATTGCTTATCAACTTTTGATTTTAAGCTGGTCCTCGACTGACTACCACACTTTGTTCATAGACTAGTGTAGTAGTCAGTCGAGGACCAGCTTACTTTTAATTTGAAAAATGAGGGCTATTGGTACTTTACGGAACGGAACGGGACGGAATTTCATTGAAGGTATCCATAGGGGGCATCTATCAATGTTTCTAATCATCGTCGTAAAGGACGACGGGAGGTCTTGTCTTCTTAGATATAATTACGAATGAAAGGAGTAATACTTTTTTTCTGACTTGCCTATTTCATATGAATTATTGATCCGGTTATTGAATGCATATCTAAAACACTTACCACTCATTAAAAAAAGAGGTGTAAGACAAACAAAAAATGAATTATACCGTCTATAACATAGAAGTCTGTTTCCGTTCGATTCCGTTAAATACCAATTCCTCAGAGCAATTGGTACTTTGCGGAACGGAACGGAATAGCAAATTTAAAAAGTTAAAATCAGAATCAATGTTTCTAATCATTGATACACGGGTTATTCAATGGGCACCACATTTTTGAAGTTATTTCGAATAGACAGAAAAAAATATTTCAGTCATTCCTTAAACATTAGCTACGAGATAAAAAATTAAATAAAATATGTTTTTTTTGTTCAATAATCAATGAAAGTGAAATAGTGAAATAGTAGTTTGCTTTTATCAGCCAATTTGGTTCAATTTTGTCAAAATAAGCTAAGAAACATCGGTAATGAATTATTCACTTGCAAGTGAATAATTAGACCTTATTGAATCCGTATTCATGTGACCTTCAGTTCAAGCCCTTAGTTTGAAATGGGTTACGTATGTATTCAGCTATTTAAAGGAAAATACTGTCAACATTGAAAGTGAAATAAGACTGAACCATAAGATTGACTAATTCGATCCACAAAAAAATCAATCTTATTCAGGTAAAAACGATGATAAACATACATTTAACCTACAATATGAAATCAAACAGACCTAGAAAAATCCAATTGTACGTGGTCTCTATCTATTTATGTTTATATTTACGTTTATATCGGGTTATATGACCTTTGGTATTCTTCGGAGGTCATCTCGATGGTT